TTTTGCATTTATGTGACATTTTTGAGAGGCTTCTTTGCTTATGTAAACTGTGAGAACCGGTAGGAAGACATATAAAAGTGATGAAATGATGGTTGAGATGCCCAGAATTAACTAATAAATCATTTTTGGTTAGTGCCATTAACTGGTGCATTGTTGTAAACCAGAAATGCTAGTTACAAACCTGAGAAAGAAACAGTAGAAATTCAGAATGATCTAGTTATTAACATATATCAATATGACATCTACCGCATTTAGATAGTCAAAAATAAATAACTATAAAATGGCTGATTTAAATAGTAAAGTATTCCGCTGGTTTTCCCCATAAAATTTTCGACCCATGTCTAGCATACATACAACCAAGATTGTTGTATAGATTGCTCTTATGAGCGCAAAGACAAACCAATACATTTCTAGTTGTATCAAAGAGGTATTTATATTTCGGATGAAATTACATACGCTAATAATAAATATGATTATAATAGAAATGAGACTATTTATAAAGAAAGTAAAAGTTATGACTTAATGATGAATTGAGGAAAAAATAAAATAAAATTGAAAGAGATATATTTTTTTACAATGCAAGACATAGTTTTGTAAAGTTGGTTATGCATTGATAGAGCATGAACCCGCACGACACGATAGTAAATCCAATGCAAAAAGTAAGAAAACAAATTTCAAAAGTTGACAGCATAATAAAATCTCTCTATTTAAAGCTCGCTATTAGATAAAGAAATAATGATAGAGAAATCGTATATATATATATATATATATCAATAATTAAATCGGTTTATCAATAAAATTTGTTTCAAAGTAGAATGAAGAAAAAGAATTCTTTAAAAAAACAAAACAAAAATAAAAAAATATATATTAACTTATAACCACTTAAATTTTAATTGTCAGTTCAGCGACAATCTTGGACATCTCAGAATTTTTCAAGCTTCCATTCTATAAAACAATTTGGAGGTCTAGGAACCATTTCCTTTTTTCAAGAGGTTTCAGAATAATATTGCATCTTCCCTTAATTGTCATGTGATAACGGTTAATAAATTTAGAAATTTTTGATAAATAACGAAGAGCAAAAAAAAAAATAAATGAATTTAAATATTCTACGTTTTCCCTAATCAATAAGCATATTTTGCGTAAGGATATGATTTCATAGCTGATTTAGGGTTAATTGGTTAATTTACTATTAATTTGCTAACTAATTATAATTTTCTCGGAACCTTAATTGTCGAATAATGAAGTTTATGATAAATTGATTTTTTGTTCTCTTTTAAGACTAATTTGGTTAGATTAAAGTTCAAGCTTATTCATTGTAAGATTAAATATACCAATGATCTCTTTGTAACTTTAGGTCACACTCAGTATTAGGAACAGGTCACATTCAGTATCAGGTCACGCTCAGTATCTTTTGCCGATCAAGTGAGTATCGCAATGAATGATGTATCTGGCGTAAAATTTTAATTAGTTGGAATTTGATAAACAAATCAAGAGAGTTATCATTTTGATGAATAAAGCCCGGAGTTGCGATCATTTACACAGCTGAATTGTTTTACGAGGATACAAAGAAACACCAAAGGAGCACCAAAAGCACGACGAAAAAAAAAATACCAAAGGACGAATAAAATACCAAAAAAGCGATGGAAAGAAACAACAAAAGAATGCCAAAAGAATCATCAAAAATGACGATAGAACGACCCAAAGTACTGTACTAAAAAAAAAAACGCGTAATTTTATTTTATATATTATTGACAATCATGTTACCAGTTACAATGTTTGACCTAGTTTATACATTCAGGCAACAATTAACAATACGTAATGGCCAATAGTTTATTATATTATTAGTGATAGTAATTAGGTTGAGTCAATAGAAATCAAAATTTTAAAACTTCAAACAAAAATACAAATGAAAATTGATTAATCGTTTAGTTAACAACTAATTGATTAAAGATTTTTGAATTAACCAACTAATCAATTGGAAATATTTTTATCACTATTGTTTGATTTCTATTATCTTTGAAATTAAAACTTTTATCAAAGAATTATTAAATGCTAAAGAGTATATATTAAAATTTTAAAAATTTTATATGTATTTTTTTATTTAGTTTTAGTTTAATTTTTTTTTATAAAAAATTTGGGAGTACAGTACCAACTTATTTGACTACTAAGTGTAGCGTTTGGAACTCCTTTATATAGACATATCTTATGACTGATAAATTACTTCTTAGCCCTTTCTGCATTAATATTTTCCAAAAATTGGATAGCTCTGGGCTGATTTTTTAAAGCTGCCAACTTAATATACGATTCAGCCTTTACTCTATCGATTGGAACCCCTAACTTTCCATTCCAATAAATATCACCCAAGTTATAAAGTGCAGTAGAATTTTCATGATGTGCTGCCATAGTTATATATTTAATTATTTCTGGTACATTCATATTATTTTTATCTTCAAGAAGAGCAAATGCATATCGAAGTTGAGCATCAGGTAAACCATTATCGGCTGCTTCTTTGAAAAGCTTAAGTGCAGCTTCATAATCCTTTTTAACACCTATTCCGTTCAATAAATAATATCCTTGCCAATATTTTGCCATATTATTTCCAAGCCTTGCATGACCTACAAAACATTCCAAAGCAATATTGTATTTTTTTTCTTTGTGTGCTTTAATGCCATCTTCAAAAGGTATTAAGGGTTTTATCGTAGGTATTGTGTAGTTAGCTAAACTAAGATCATCACATTCATCAGGTGCTTCAGGTTGTTTATTAGACTGTTGAGAATCGGTACTGATGCTAACTTTTTCCTGGAAATTGCTTGAAAGTTCTAAACTTGGGATATCACTAGAGTCAACTTTTTTTGGATATATTTGAGGGCCAATTCCTTTAGAAAATACATGTTCATCATAGAGGTCTTTAAGTTTCTGTTGCATTTCTATGTCCGAAGGACGTGCTGAAGGTTCATCTTCCCAAGCTTGATGAATAAAAAATTAATTTTATATGAATTTTGAATCCAAGTCAAATTGACAATTTAAACAATTTAAAATTACAAGGATAAAATATATTTACCCTTTATAATGAGTTTATGAAGTTCATTTTGAATTGGTGATGGATCAAGTGTGTTTTCAAGAACTTCTCGTTTTTTACTCAAAACATGTTCTTGGATATAAGCTACATCCATGTATTGGTAAGGAAACCTTTGATGACAAAGCTCCCATAGCATCATTCCAAAACTAAGCAGAACAAGCGATGTGTTAATAATAACTTATAAAAACGTTGTTAATGATAAGTTTGTTATATATTTCATTACCTGTACATTTCACATTGATGATTATATCTTTGCGTATGCGTACCTTTTGCAGATCTTCGCATCTTTTCGGGTGCTAGCCATCGAATAATATCAGCCAATGTTTTAATTTCAGAGGATACCGGTGTCGATATAGATCTAGCGAGTTGGAAATTTGAAATCTTAGGCTCAAATCTATCAGTAACCTATTAATAAAAATAGTCAATTGTTGCTAACTGTGATATTAA